CACTTGGCAGGACTCATTTCAACTAATTTTCAATGAATAAGAATTATAAAATGGTTCCTCCAAAAGTGCTTGAACATTTTTGTTTCAGGGGACTTTTCCTGAGCACATGCAGTGTGTAATCTGACATAGAAGCTCACACACAATGCTGACAAAACCTACCTTTCCTTCTTCGTTCATTCCTATAGACTAAATTTACTCGCCATCTGTATTGACATAAGTTTGGCCCATATTTAGATCGCCTATATCTGAAAGATGTTAAAAGTATTTAATATATGTGTAAATGGCCTTTTATGCATTCATTTAACCGAGCAATCATACAAATAATAAAAAATCCCAAAAACTCATCATAAATGCCAACATTATATTTTTATTTTTAATCAAGTAATTTTTTTTTTAGACCTCAAAATATCCATAGTTGACAGAATAAGACATTAGGCATGAAATGAGATATAAAACCCACGGTCTGCAGAAAGGCAAGCAGTATGTTAGCCCATCGGAATGACGGCACACGAGTGAAGGCCATGCGAAACCTCTCCTTTTTGTCCTTTAAAAATATACAGTTCACGTGTTTTGTTTCGTTTCACTTGTAAACATGAGTCAACAAAATGGACAACGAGGCAATCTAACAACTACAGAGGATAATTTAAAAACACTAGATAAAACACCGTAGTAAAGAGATATAGAAATCAGTGTTCACTTTGGTCTCTAGTATGCTTAGGGTGGTTAATACCAAAAAATAAAAAAAATTAATAAAAAAAACCACAAGAAACCCAATACATATAATTAAAGCCAGCTTGGTGGTGGGTGCCAGTGGTTGGTAGATGTAAGTAAATCAGGAGGTAGTCCACACCATCGTGTTCAAGCTGGTAACTCTCACAAGTGTTAAGCCACAGATGTATTACCCATCGCAATAGTTTCTCACAGTACAGTACTCTGCCATAACTTTTGCAGCTTTGTTCTACATATAAATTTTAAAAACGACTTCACTGGTCAACTTCTCCCTCTAACTGAACTATGACACAGATCACACAACCACCACATTTTAAAGAGGCCGATGACAGCTATGTAAGACAAAATTAGATGCTTTTAACAAGTTGTTCTTCTCTAAAACAAACAAATCTAGGAAATTAACATCAAGGCAGCTGCACTTGTACATACTTTCCCAAATTTTATAACCAAAGGGGAAACACACATATATATTTTATGATAAACATTTCTTAGAGAAAACAGATAAATTAACTTAAATTAACTTTAAGACTTAGTGAGATTTCCCATGTCCTGTATAATTCATCTTACAGTGAATGTTACAAAGTCTATTAACACTTATGGGCTTCTATTCACAAACTAAATACAACTAGCATTAACTTGGGGCCACATTGGTGCAAAACAAAACCGGGCCAGACTAATTAGAAAGAAATCGGCAATAAAAAACATCCTGTTTTTGTAGGTGGATCGATGCTAGTAACATGATGTTCACTGATCTTTTTTCCTTACATTGCACACCAAACTTGCAAGTTATAAGCAGGTAAAAATCTTTTACATCTCTCCATTGTAAAAATACATCCAAAGTCTTCTAGTAAAGACTAGAAATGCAAGTATAAAAATGCTTCCACTGTAATCTGCCGTGTAGCAAATGAATAGCTCACAGGGCTGGGAGACCGGTAGAGCATCTTTCTTAGGAATGACATTTGTGCCGACGTGGGGGTGAGGTTAAGGAGCCATTAGCTCACAGACCTCCTGCCAGTCCCTGGGTAACCCCTGTAAACAGATGCTTTACGCAGCCCCCACCTGGACATGGCACTGCACATCACTCCACGTCTATGCCTTGGCAAGCCAGTGCTAGTTAGCTGGGTGCCTCGGGCAATGATGCTGCCACATGCCTGGCCTCGGGGCAGCACAGACATAAACGCAGGCGATTGGCATCTTTTGTACTGTTTGCCCAGCACGAATGCACTCAGACGTTCCTTCCTGCCTCAGCTTCTGGGCAGAGCTTAGCTGTTTCCAAATTGCTTCTGGGTGCTGCGTTGCTTACGTGGAAGAGTGACCATCATTCTTTCATTCTAAGTACATGATCAGTGCCAGGAAATGCTTGGAGACTTCGCTAACTAAACGGGATGCTCGATGCTTCATTATTCACAAGTGTTTGTCGGAAACATGCAGTTTGTGAATTGCTGTCTACGCTATGGGAAGTTTCTGTACCAGAGAATGGCCAGCCACTGGAAGGCTGGAGCAGCATACAGGTGTGCTATGCATCAACGATGAGGTAGCCTTTTGTTGTAAACAGAATTATATTTCACCCATGAAAACGGACACTGTGCTCACATCTGTGATATTCACATATACAAGGAATTCAGGAATTCTACGGTCGAGTACTTTTCACATGAAATAGAAACAGGAGAACTGATAAATTCAGAAATTTTGATCTACGTCAAACAGAGGTAGTTATTACTAACATCAGTATATAACACTTACATAAAGGTCAGAGTTATTTGGTTTGTTTTGAGTAAGCAGGACTGTAGACTATTCTGTAAAGAAACAACATCATCATCATATGGTATGTTCCCTGAGCAAAGTTCTTTGTCCTGAGTATGTTATGCAATAGTGATAATATTCTTATATAAAAAATAAACCCAACTTTTAATCACAAGATAGGTTTGGTATGTGCTCTTAGTTCAGTCTGGTAAAATGCTTAGCACGATTTCAAATTGCACCCATAGGTCCACAGTTACACTTTTTTATTTTTATTTTTTTAAGCACGACCTCGGCTCTGCATGTTTTAATATGGAAACAGGGAATGCCCAATTCTCAAGTCCGTAACTTCTCTAAGTCCCTAGTTCTCTAAGGCCAAGAAACTTTGGTTTGGATTTCTCAAAGTGACTTGTCACCGTTTGCATTTTTCCTGTTCACCTGCTTATTAGACCTGCTAAAAATTAAGCAATGCCACTTTGATTTGTCTACATAATTTAAATACGCTTACAATCCTCACGTAAGGCAAGGACGGACTTCTCTACAGCTATATCACATTCAATATCGTCAAAGGTAAGCGCTGCATCACACAGCACACTGACATTTCAGAACATACTGTGGGGATTCTCACAAACACTGTCGTGGAGTTCAGGCTGAGCGGCGGGGGACAGCCCCGGGTATTTCTCCGTGCACCCGGCTGGCTGACACACAGCAACTGCACAGGCCTACGTGGAAGGACACGTGGGAGAGAGAGCGACACTGATCGGTAGAATACGTCACATTTGATCTTTCTTTCTTTCTTTCTTTCTTTCTTTCTTTCTTTCTTTCTTTCTTTCTTTCTTTCTTTCTTTCTTTCTTTCTTTCTTTCTCTTCCTTTCTTTCTCTTTCTTCCTTTCTTTGATTATCTGAGCTTATACCAACAGGCTCATCATACAAAACTATTTATTGTCAATGTTAAGCATTATAGTTGGTACCTTCTTGGAGATATTTCAGTGAAGTACCCATGACAACTATAACCAGGATGACACCTAAGTGACTGAAACCCACAAGGGACCAATATTAGGACTGTTCCCCAGCCAATTTACTAACATAACCGAGGACCATGCTGAGAGGCCTCTCCGTCGCCATCACTGCCTGTTCATCCTGACTCCACCGTGTGGGCTCCTTCAGCACGGCGACAGAGGGATCTCCCCTAAGATCCAGCTTACTGTATAAAATCCTTCCAGCTCTCTGCAAGGAGAGGGTCTGGTACCTCTGGCCCAGCTCCTCTCTGTAGCTGCCTGCCACCAAACACTGCACTTTCTAATAGAGTCAAGGTCATACATATTGGGCAATTGTGAGCATCAATGATGTCTACTCTCAACCCTGGCATTCTATCCGTATCTCTGCTGCTTTGTTTGTTTTAAAAACAAGTTAGGTAACTCTCCGGGGGGAATAAAAATCGTCACCAAAATATACACCGAACCGTTTTTCTCCAAGGTCTTCAGTAGTAAACAGGGAGGACCCCTGCTCGAAGGGATGGTCAAAAGGAATGACTCGGTCAAGGGAAGCTGCTGTTGCCAGAACCGCTTACAAAACCGCACAACACGTTAAAAAATCAGGAGCTGGTATCAAAATGCCTCAGAAAACAATCAAGTCACTACATTGTTACATTGCCCTCCCCCCTTCCTTTCTCTTAATCTGTATCTAGTTTACAATCAAAATATATGAATTAAAAACATTGAAACATCGGCACAGAAATTACACATTCATTGTCTTTTCTGGAAATAATGTATCCCAGATTCAAAAAGCTGATGGCAGTCAGAGGCATGTGAACTTAAGGTACTGCCTTCAAAAAGGGGTGGGAGCACTCTATGGATATCAAGAAAAAAGGCAATCCCAAACGTGGGGGAAGCGGATGCTTTAAAAACCGTTAGTACCACGTGATTTGGCAGCTCTGAGACGTGAAGTATCCTTTGGTTCACACAAAAGTAACAACCACGTTTTTATTTGTAAGTAAAGTAAAAAAAAAAAAAAAAAAAAAAAAAAAAAAAAAAAAAAAGGGTGGGGTGGGGGGAATGGCATTTCGAGAAAAACACCAGGGACTATTTTTTTTTTAAACCATCTAAATAAAAACGCTTCCCACGAGTTTTCAATTGTTGGGGATGTCAAATCCAGTGAGGGAGGGTGTGTGCTTATAGCCGTACACACACATATAAAGAAGACACTCTTTCTTCATATGTGCATGTCCCCCATTGCGATATAAATCCTCCTCCTACACACACACACAGACTCAGGCTCTCTCCCTCTCGCACATGCACATAGAGGTACACATAGTGTCTCATTCTCTCACTCACATCACGCATGACACCCTGCTTCAGCGTAATTTGCTTAAGAGTGATGATTTGTCGGTTTTAGAAAAAAAAAAATTCACAGTTCCTCAACAGTAGTTAAAAACCCCAGGTCAGCTGCTGCTCGTGAAATACTGTTCCCCTATCCTTGCATGAGGTAGACTTCCCAACCGGGGAAAGAAAGCGAGACGTCAAGAAGCAGGGTTATGTCTTTTTCCTCTTCTGGATGGAAGGCCCCTTTCTGCTTTGTTCCTCGGGGGCCGCCGCCGCCGCCTTCGTGGAGGAAGCTTCCTGCGGGGCCCTGCCCGGCCGCTCTGCCGGCTCGGCCCTCGCCTCCTGAGGAAATGGGGGTGATGGACGGCCGTGCCCTCCCCCCGCCTCCCGTGGGAGGGCCGCAGTGCATGGCTGAGGGTCCGCTTCCTGTCTTCCCTGAGAACTGGCGGGCGGCTGCGCAGCAGTTTTGAGCGGGCAGTTGGCCACCATGTGTGTGATGCTCTGACAGTAATGGCACTTCTTTGGCTGAGGAGGTAGACTGCATTCCTTAGCATGATGATCAAGGCCACCACAGTTGTAGCATCTGCAACAAGGATAATGAAAACGTCTTAGAAGTAGGGATTATGTGCCGTGAGATGTTATTAATGTATGTAAAGAGGTACCCAGATGCACAAACTGCCAATGAGATCATCAGCTCATGCTCGTGTGCCTTCTTTGGCACATCCATGTGATGCTGTTCTTCAGACCATGTGCTTCGAAGGCCATCGTCACCCTAACGCTCCCGCAAAGGCGGAGAGCCAGTTGTGCTGACACACCAGTCGGTGTGAAACACGAAAGGCTGTGTAATCACTTCCATACAGAAATCACTGCTTTTCAAGATCTGCCAGGTTATCTTAAAAAAACACACACAACAGTTTGGCCCACTAGAGGGCAGCCAATGCTCAACAAAAGAGCAAACAGCTAGCTTTAAAAAGGATAAAACAAAATAAACTGATGAACAAAATCAATCCAGAGACAGAAACATGGAACAGACTGATGGATCTCGGAGGGAAGGAGGGGGAGGATTGGGGTGGGAAGAGATTATATGCATATATGGACGCAGACAAGAGGGTGGTGAAGGCATGGAACGGGGCAGGCTAGAAGGGGTCGATGGTGGTGGTGGTGGGGAAGGGGACATATGTAATTCTTTCAACAATAAAGATAAAACAAACAAACAAATAAGCAAATATAGTTAAAAAATACAGCTGTTGATATAATACGCACTGGCAGTGCACTCAGCAATTGGGAAAATTATAGAGCAAATTCCATTTTATCAGCTTAACCTTTCTTTGCGTATTAATTATTTTGACTATGGAAACCGTTGACTGGAATAATTTTGTTCCTTTGTCCAAATTAAGCAATGCAGGGAAATATGATATGTAGGAAAATCAGATGTCTATGGCAAATGGTATCCGGCAAATTACCAAATAATTTTAGAGTAGTAAGTGTCTGATCAGAATGCTGTAAAAGAAAGCTCCTGACTACTTAGACTGGATTTTAAAAGGCTGATAATAGGTCAGAGATGAAAAGAATTTATTTTCTACTGTAAGAAATTAGTTTTCCTCTAGAGTAATTCTTTTAAGTTGAAATAAACATAAATCCATCCTTAGTGTTTAAATACACATTGGGTGCATAACTTTATATTAAATCTTTGAAAATTTGACTTAGCGTCTAAAAACTGAGCAAGTAAATTATTTTGAAGATATATTTGCTTAATTCCAGCCAGACTTTCTTTTAAAATTTAACATAAAAAAACAACAAAACAGCATAAAGTGGAGTAAATAAAATTTCATAATTACAAAGATTTTTCATCTCCACACCTCCCAATCTGGCTTTTGTTGAGTATAAAATTTCCTTATTAATTTGTCTCCAGATGAAATGTTTTAAGGATTTTCTATTTCAAAATACATTTATGACTCCATAATTCTTATTAGGAAGCACAAACAGATCACAAAGATGTTTTGTTTGTTTTAATGGCAAAATAAGTGGTAACTGTGAGAGCCAGCTTAAGACTATTGACAAAAAAAAATAATTAATTGTAATTAGATTTGTCTGTGTGAGAATAGCAAGCTCAATAAGTTATTTTTACTATGCATTTCAATGACAAACTACTAAGCTACTACTAATTTACTGAGCAATATATGTAGAATACTTAGTATTTTATTTTCTGGGGTAAGTTACAGAGAGTGATTTTTACTTGGCAAAAACTAGGATAACTATGGTTTGCTTTTCATCAATACTACCTTATAGATGTTAGAATAATGAATTCACAAGGTGGGCTTTTATTATTTGCAATATTAGTAATTATTTATCTAGGGGAAAATACATCACATTTTCAAAAATTAAGGGGAAAACCAATAAAGTACTTTTTTCTGGTTAAATTATTTATTGTGTAATTACATACCTTCATATAATAAAAAAAATTGTAATTAATACTACAATAAAGATTCACTATTGTTTCAGCCATGTGTTTACATAAATAGTGCAAATTGAAAGAATAAAAACTGCTAATGCTTGAAATTCAGGTCCCCAAATTAACTCACTAAAAAATGGCATCTTTCAGAAATATAACCATATTACTTATAACAACGTTTTCCCATATTCTATAATAGATAAGTGGATCTTTAAATTAAATTTGCCCATCTATAAAATATCTCCTTTTGAATTAAATTCACTTTCTTGAGGAGAACATCCAGTTAGGAGCTCATTTTCGAAGAAAAAGAAAATAGGTTAAAGGCTTCCGTGGCAGAGCAGGCTCTCCCGCAGACACATCCATTTCACCAGTCACTGTGGTGTGCACTGCGCTATCCAATTTAGAGAACCATTTGCCCACTCATTTACCAAGGGCCTGATGTCAAGATTCCACTTTCACAAATGAGGTCTTCCATCATATTCTGTATGTGCATTTACTGTTCCATTTGGGGTTCAAAAGTTATTTTGAAGGATACTATATAATTCTGGTTTCCTTGCATTTTTGCTCTGCCTGGTTAATTCACCCCCACCCTCCAGCTTCTCAGATACATGCTATCCCTAAGCCAGACTGCCTTCCACCAGGGGAAGATTTGCATTTAGTGTATATATGCTTAGCCTTTAAAGCGGAGGAGCAGTATTTATTCTCCTATTCTACTTAATCATTCAGTGTCAATCACTCCTACGGAGAGTGCAGATCACACTCCATTATAAAACCTTTTTCCTTCCCAAGGGACTGACACCAAAATGGAAACGTTCAGTTACCTTTCAGCCCTCTAATGACACCAGACCACATACCCCACAGAAGCTCTCCAAGGCACCAGTCTCCTTTGTTCCCTCTCCACACCTCCCAATCGGCTTTTGTTAATGGGAATGAATTACACTGGGATGTGGGCATAAAACCGCCATGCGTACACATCTGTCCCTACACACTTAAGACATATAGGGCTTGGCAAAAGTAAGTTTACAGCTGTGAGTGTGAGGAATGGTTTATTCTTGTTTTATTATTTATTTGTATTACAACTGCAAACCTACTTTTGCTCACCCCTGTATAAGGACAGACTCACAAGCAAAAGGCTATGTAGAAGGAACTATGCCTTGTGTGTGTTCCCACAGCCCAACTAGTGTTAAGTATTTTACTAAACGATCAATCAATGTCACAAAGGATATTTTGAAGATAAAATATTGAAGATGAAAATAAATTAGAATGTTCAGATTAATCTTAGAGCTTTATCAAATTCTTCATAAAATTCCTTTGTATTTTAATTATAAGGAGCTAGCATAGGACATTCTTATTAAGTTACTTCTTATAAATACTTAAAATGGAAACTAGATAATCAAATTGAAGTCAATTTTTAAAAGACTATCAAAATAAGATTTAAATTTTTTAATGAAAGGAGAATGCCAACAATAGATGTAGAAGCACCTAAATGGCAAAAGAAATAAAAACAGATCTTTTGAGATTTATATCTTTAGGAATATCAATTACATTATGAAATAACTGAGTTTTAATAAACTAAGCCCAAACACCTACTAAGTTAATCAAAACATAGCCAAATTTTTGAGGATACCATAATAAAAATGGAAAATCTTATTCAGAAACCAGATCTGCTAAGACACTTGAAAAAAATTACCATTTTGGGGGTCCAAACTAAGTAAATTATATTTAAGTGACTCCATAATGGTTAGAACTGAGCTCAACTAAAGACCACTAGATTCTATAGACATTACACAGAAACATTGATTCTTAGATGATACCTCAATAGCTTAAATGAAACAATTCATCAACTGTGTACTAGTATTTCCCCTGAATCCCAAAGTGATTTTCAAAAGCTGGGCAGAGGAGCGATACCACAGATAAAGAGCCAGATTTGTCTGTCTAAAAATTTAACGGATAAAAATGTAATTTAGGTGCCTCTAAATATTTATAAAATGCTAGCTTAGTAAGAATTTACTTGAAAATTTAAATTTATATTCTTTGGGGTTTGGTGGAGGCATTAAGAATAAGGCTATTACAGTGCACTGTAAGCTCCTCCAACATGAAAGGACACGTTGAAAAAATAGTAAATAAAGCAACATCAGGGAGAAAGAATAGATTGAGGGTGGGAGTGTAAGCTGTAGGGTGGGAAGTAGGGGTGATAAGGGAAAGGAGTAGATAAAAATCTCCAGAAAAATGAGAGAAGAAAAAAATTCAATGAAATTTCTCAGCAGGAGGCTAGAGGTTCATATAGAACAAATACATATTTAACACCAGGAAGAATTTTATTTGTATTTTTTGAAATATAGAAGCCAATATCATCCTCAATTACCTTAATGCTAAAAAATATCTATACACAGCATAATAAAATGATAATAATAGAAGTGATAACAGGTTCAATTTATTGAGATCTTATTATGTCCCAGATACTGTGCAAAAGGTTTTTAATGTAAGATACAATTAGTCCTCCCCCAAATCCTATGAAGTAGGTATTGTATTGATGAAAAAACATTAAGACTCAGAGGGTTTGTGTAGAAGGAAATTTTAACTGAAATAATAAATTTCATTTGTATTTTAATTGCATAAAGACATTATACCCAACAACATTAATGTAAATTTATTATATGTAAATCTAAAAACATATAAGGACCTGAATTAAAGCGCGCGCGCGCGCACGCGAGAGAGAGAGAGAGAGAGAGAGAGAGAGAGAGAGAGAGAGAGAGAGAGAAACTGGAAGTAGATTGCTCTTCAGAGCTCGGTTACTGCTGTTACTATGCTCTGGGGAAGTGAGATTCTCTCTTTGAGATGAAAGGTTGAAACTAGTCCAGCCCAGATTTTTCACTATCAATGGCCAGTTTTATTTCTGGTACTTTCTATGCGGAAAATTTTGTCTCAAGAATTACTCGATAACTTTCCATTCCCCTTAACCATATGACGCTCAACCACTGAGCCACGTCAGCAGCGGGGGCCACCGGGACTTTTTAAAGGGAGACAGGAATGTGATGCTCCTTGAGAACCACAGCCGTGTATCAACCCGAGTTTAGCACTGACAACGTTTCCAAGGGATTACTCTACAATCTCACCCATAAGGACTGTGG